CCAGCAAAAGACTCGGCTTGGATCTACTCTACACCCCCTCGTGGCGGATGACGAGTGGCGTGGGTGGCCGTTGCGCAGCGTCGAAAAAACGTTGGCGGCGACGGGGAGACAGAGGGGGTCGAGACGTGGGTTGAAGAGCCGGGGGGAGGAGGGGGTGCTCAAACGCGCCAGAGGCAGATGTTAACGGACCGACCCGGTAGCGTGTCGCGTGAGTCTTCCGTTGGATTGCATGGTTTGCGTGGATATGGCAGGATGGGGGGTGGGGAGGGGAGGGGAGGGGAGAGTTGGGAAGAGAAGGGTGGAAGTATGTGTGTGTGTGTGTGTGTGTGTGGATCAAACGATAGTGAAGTAACGATCTCGGGAGCAAAAGAGGGAAAGACGCCGAGCAGCTTCGAGACGGCGGAAAGTTTGATTTGACCAGTTCCAGTTTGCGAGAGATCCCAACAGACTGTGCGGCCCCTGTGGACTTTGATTTGGAATCGCGATCATCCTCATCGTGTCGTCATGGTCTGAGCAAGATCTCGTATTCAACAAAGATCGATATGGTTCAGAGATGAGTGCGACAAAGACCCGATGGGGGTGCGTGATATCTTCTTGTCTGCACAGCCACCGTGTCAGCATAACATGGACCCACAATAGGCTGTATAACCCAGCAAGACCACAGCGCTCTACTGCAAAGCAAGCCTCGGAAGCATCTCCCCTCGTCCTCGCAAGAAATCCTTCCCATCCTTCGCCCCAACAATCAAGCTCAACGCCGCAACAGCCCAGCGTCCTAGCGCCCACTGCCAAGCCACCCAGCCGATCCCCGAATGGGAAGCCGGCAGCCGAAAACCCCTAGCCAACATCCGTGCGTAGTACGGTAACACACGCCAGACCCCATCTCCTCAAGACGGTAGAAGCCATCACTACCTACAATACGCCTTAGGATACAGAGTGTTATAATCATCATATAAGATAGAGATATAGTAGGTCAGGATAACAGATTATGTGTATTTATAAAGGGTGTGCTCTATATCCATATCACACACACACACACACACTCTCTCTCTCTCTCTCTCTCTCTCTCTCTCTCTCGCTCTCTCTCTCTCTCGCTCTCTATACATATCTGCATCTACACATCCACCTTAACCCCAGATATCCCCACCCCCTTCCTATCCCCTCTCATCTGCTGTCCAGTCCACACCAACTATCCACCCTACACATCCCCCTCTCCCAATCTCCCCATCCAACACCCCCTCCCCTCCCCTCCCCTCCCT